CGGAGGCGGCAGCAGCGCTTCAAATGCCCGGCAAGACCAAGCGCCTGTGACTGCCCCCTACTGGACGACGAGTCGTGCACGTGGAAAGCCAATGGGCGCCATCTAATGGAGAGTCGTCGTTTTTTTTATGAATGCCACGACGTGCTGAAGGCATCCGCTGATGCTCGGGAAAATGCCAGCACCCTTACGGATACTTTGACATTCATTTTTCTTGAAGCAGTAATTCCGCTACCTGCATAACACTCTGACGCCTCAGGTTCCTACTACTTTATCCCAAGGTACACAGATCTCCCGGGCTTAAAGCACCAATCCAAACAAAATCTTTGTTTTTGTTGCAGAGTTTTGAATTTCTGGTAAAATTGCTTTTTGCTATGCAGTAGAAGTACACACGCACACAGAACAGAATAGCTACAAGTTCCTCAGAGTTACTCCTTTTTCATTAACTGACACTTAAATTTTCAATCACTCAGCCTGACACATTTGTAGGAGAAAGAATAAAACAATTTATTTACTTACAGTTGCTTGATGTTACAGATTCGTATACGTATGCTGCCTTCTTTACCGCACACATACTTAGTAACCAACTGAACACATCAACAGCAAGCTATCAACTGGCATCAACCAAGGAAACAGAAGGAAAGAACATTCAGTAGAAAGGTGGACTCTCTTTGAATCCAAAAGATGGAAGGGACAATTGGTTAGTGCTAGAGAGATACTGTATACAATTACTGTATCGCAGCCCAAAAAAGACCCTCCCAGACACACAAACTACATACAGCTTGCATGGGTGCAAATAAAGCAGTTTTAACCAACTAACTTGATGAAGAGTTCTGGAGAACTAGAAAGCTTATATTGAATTCCCTGACAATCTGAGGTGGCCATATCTGCTGTCCAACATGATTGCTCTGTGGATCCAGCCACAGTTTATATACAGTGTGCCTTATTTACCTTCCCACCTTCTGCGGGGCTGTATTTAGAAAGAAGAAAGAAAATATTATAATTATATTCAGTTGAGAATATACCTCTTCTGGATTTGAATATTCAATAGACTGGTGAGAGGGATTAGAATGGAGCAAATATGACTGGTTGCCAAGGAGAGAATGCACGGAAGGAGTAATTAAGATAGGAAAGAGATGAGAAGTTCCGAGACAAGTACCTTCAGCATTGATTCTTCATGTAACTGTTGTGCTAGTTGGCTAGCCCCATGTTTTTATTCCACTGCACATAACTTTTCTGCCATTTGTAAAAAATAAAAAACAAAAACTATCACTGCTTTTGAAAGGAATTTAAGAGTGCACTTTTTATCCAAACACAACCAACATGGGTAGAGTTTAAGCAACACCACGATATGTTTTTAATTTAGCATACTGCATATATTCTCCTTTCAGACTGATGATTTTGGCTGGCCTGCTCCCCCCACCCTGTCCCTTTTCTGTTGTTTCCTTTCTCTTCAAGGAATTCAAGCAGAGTCTACTTTGTCTCTCCTCTCCTCAAAGAGGAGAGGGCCCCTTGTGGCAGCTGAGAGGCATTTTCATGGACTACAGCCAGATGCATGAAATGTTGCCCCCAATTAGCAGACATAGGCTAAAATATATATCTGCATACGAGTGTACTATTGCAGCACAGATGCCGGCCACAGAGACTGGTGAGATGTTAGGAAGAACAACCTTCAGAACACGGCCAAAGAGCCCGAAAGACCAACAACAACCAGTACTATTTTTATTTTATACCAATAAAAGAATTTATTAAATAGAAAAATAATAGCATCCCAAAACACAACAATTGAAACACAGTAGGAAAGATATGGAATCAGTAGTCATTCTAATGGGATTTAAACTACTTGCCATACATTAAGTATCTTTGACCAAAATTAAGTATCCCAGGAAAATATTCAATCAATAGCACATCATCTGCAAATGAGCAGTATTAAACATCCTTAAGCAGTCCAATTCATCTGTTATTTTAGGCATGAATTTGTTTTGTTACTTTCTCCACTGATGATATAAGAGTTCTGAAACGTATCATTCCTGCCTCTTCACTGTCTTGCTACCAGTTGTGAAGGCTGGCTGAATACCTCACTGGTTTCCATAGGTTGGGAGATAAGTTCCCCGCTGTGCATCCAAAAGAGCTCATTTGTGTTGCCTTGGGCAAGCTGCACCAGTCCGGGGCATCCCCAGAAGAAGGGAAGGGCAAACCACTTCTCTGCCTGGTAAACCCCAAAAAGAGCTCCCATAAGTCAGAACTTATTTGAAAGCACATAATAATAATAATAATAATAATAATAATA